CTGGGTATCATCGGCTCAACGTCGGGATTTACATACCAGCATGTATGGTGAGCATCATTCGCCATACCTGCGTCAAATTCGCATTGAATGTACATCTGAAAATGTATTGCTGCTTTATTCTATACTATCACGCAATTTTTCAAAGGTAGATGATTTTGTAGCATATATAAATCAATCTTCATATTCCATGCAAAAGCAGCTTTGTAGCCAAGTGAGATGCACGACGAGAAAGGAAGCTGGATACTGATTCCAGCAATATAGACATGGCTATTGAAAAATCTGTATATGTGATGAGGTAATATTGAATATTGGTTCAGCGGTTACCTGCTGCGCTGGATGTTGGGGTAGAGATATATATCCTTCCTTCTATCTATAATGTTCGCAGACGACATCCCCCTCTCTCAGTCATAACTCCCAATTTCTCCTTGTCTGTAGGTTGTAGCAATCATGACTTCCTTCGACCAACCGCCGTCGGAACAGCAACCTGAGAAAAAGTTGTGGTATCGTTCCTCCCTCTTCAATGCCTTTGTAATAGGTGCAGTAGGGTTCCTGGCCCCGGGAATGTGGAATGCGATGTCTTCTCTAGGGGCAGGAGGTGCGGAATCGCCGTTTTTGGTTAATGCTGCCAATGCGTTGGTTTTTGGCTTGAGTATGTTCTTCTCCCATGCTTCTTCAAGTCTGAGTCGGTCTCGATGCACGTTTTTGGGAGGATGTTGGACTTTTGAAAGTTGGCTAATGTTGGGTGTGAAGTGGGAATATTCTGTGTACTAGGAGGTCCAATTGCGAATCGGATAGGATTGAAATATACATTGACGCTTGGAGCGGTGGGATATCCAGTGTATTCGTATGTTTTCTCTCTTGCTTGTGAGTTTAACAAGGAGATAGAGTGCTAATGAAGCATAGGGCTGGTTTATATGCAAACAATCGATATGGGAACGTCTGGCTGGTCCTCGTTGGAGCTGTCACTTGTGGCATTTCGTAAGTTGAGCAAGTGCTAGCTTGGTATAGCATAGACGAACTGACATGATATGATCAGTGCAGGATTATTTTGGGCTTCAGAGGGAGCAGTTGCTTTGGGATATCCAGAACCAGCGAAAAGAGGGAAATATATGAAGTGCGTTGAACCTGCCGTCTTGGTTTGTCCAAGGATAACGAGCTAATGGAAACAGTATTTGGTTGTGGTTTCGTACCGGAGGACCGCTTGTTGGCGGTGCTATTGTTTTGGGTCTTAATCAGTGCGTGATGTCCGAGTATCTCATACCTTGTGGATCTTATTGACAAGGTATTAGTGCGAGCAACCAAAAGAAAAAGGGAAAGGTTGGGTATGGTGAGTGATTCCTGATGTTCTCTATTAATTTTGCTTGCTAGAAAAGTACTTACATGCCATATAGCTGTATACATTATCTTCATCACCCTTCAATGCCTAGCTGCTTTCATGGCTCTTGCACTCTCTCCTCCGGACAAGGTCGGTCAATTCTAGATATTGACCAGAAACAGTTTGCTGACTTTACCAGGCCCAAAGATCAGATGGATCGAAAATCAAGATTATACATGAAAAATCTTTCAAGGCAGAAATCAGAGCTCTCATTAAAACATGTGCAAGACGCGATGTATATTTACCCGATGAAACCTCTTTTATGAACTACACTGACTTCATTGAAGATTCTACTACTATTGCTCGTCTTTTGGGCTGCATACTTTAATCAATACTCTGGAAGTAAGTCCTTGGACCCCCTATCTTTGACTTCGAGAATAAAAATTGATATTCTTTAGATTATGAGGTTTATTACTTTGGAGTTCGTGCTAGAGCTTTAATTGGTTTCGTCGGTATGCTTCCTTACTTTTCAACTACACGCTCATCTGTTAACGATGAATAGGCAATTTTGCCAACCTCTTCGCATCCCAAATCATGAGTATGCTACTTGATTACAAGGAAATTCCAGTCAAGCAACGTCTTAATATTGGGTATGTATCCTACTCAACCTCTCTACTTTCTACTCTCTACGAGCCAACCTCTTCTATATCCATTGAATTCCATCCACTAACAGAAACAAAAGTTTTTACTACGTGATTTTCTGGCATCTCGTAGCTTGGATATACGCCTGGGTTGTCAATGAGAAATTTGGTGCCGAACAACCTGATCTCGATTGGACCGATGGAGAATTCACGAAAGGATTTTTCGTCATCTTGCTATGGTGTATGCAACCCTCTCTTCAAACCCTTCCACGGCAATACTATGCGATCATGATTAGAGAGAACTTGATGCTGATGATACATGCCATCCACAGCTTTCTCACAACAGTCGCTACAAAATTGGCTATACTATTTCGTATCCACCAAAACAGATAATATTTCAGAGTTATGTACGTTGAGTTCCCATTCCGAACTAACTTCTGAGGAATTTGAGTTTGTATGTCTCAACATGATACTAACAGTCACAAAGCACGCTTCGCGGGAATCCTTCGTGGTCAAGAAAGTTTCGCCCAAGCTGTCTCTTTCGGTATTAACACGAGAGATTGGTATAGGGGTCGTGTTCCAATGGCTGTGAATACTATTTTACTTGGTGAGTTTTCTATTCTTCGCCCTGGTTCATCAGATTTATCCTCCGCAGATCTGCCTTTAGTTTTGCTCTCTTACCATTTCCACTGTTACCTCTCATTCCATCCGCTATCCTCTCACTCCCTCCCTACCCAAATAACTCCCTTCACTAACCGCACACCAGTAATTTGCCTGCCAACAACCTATCTCGCCCTCCGCGAACATATTCCCGTTGAAACACCCAAAGATTACGGATCCGAGCCAGCTAAACCATCTGAGCCTGGTCTAGAACCAGGATATGAAACTTCTCGCTCGGATGACAAACAGGTTTTGAAATTGGCTGTTGGACAGACAGTTGAAGCGGGGATGTGAAGTATGATTTGAGTGTACGATTTGTGCTTTGCAAGGGTTGAAGATGAGGGAAGGCTGTGAAAACTGAGGAGGGATACTGAGATAGGGGTGTAGACTCAAAGTGTGAACTTGAATGGGAAAGTATCGGTTTAGAAATGATAGAGATGTGAATAGTATATACAGTAGCCTCTCTTGTATATTAACTTGAGGTGTCCAATACGATAAAACGATCTATATAGAAGTACTTCATCAATCGCTCTGCTTATAGTTTCTTCCTTCTCTCTTCAAAATGTGGCACGATTTTTCTGATGTGATATTTCCCGGTATTTTGGAAAGAGAGCAAGAATTCTCGACTGGTCAAGTAGAATAAAATGGTATAAACAATCTCAAATTTCATATCGGTAGTTTCCTATTTCGCTGGAATGACATCACAGCTAGCTCTACAAGTTGTTACACAAGAGGAATCTAGAAATTACACATACGCAGAAGAAGAACGAGAATTGGTTTATTTATATTGGGACCTGGAAGTTTCGTCAAGAGAAATATTTGGTAGGATCTTAGCAGGAATGGTGGTGGATGAGATGAAGTTGTTAGTGAGGTTGTGTCGGAGGTGCTGTTTTCAAAATTCCATTAGAATATTTATATGTATGCATGCATCATTACTTTTGAAGCCCATATTATCTAGGGCCGGCTCTATCTGGACTTCTACGTTGTATAATAGTGCATCAAAATAGACGCATCTGACCCGATTTGAAAAGCGTGTGCAAGGCCACTCACTGATCATGATTGTTGGAAGCCGGAGGGAACTTTATGGGATGTAAGATTCGGTGATTAGGCAATGTCGATAGTGTAGAGCCCGAATGCAGAGGAAATATATCTATTAATACTTTGTGAGAATACAACAGCAATTACTCTGATCTGGGGCTCTTGATATCTTACCATTAAGCTTGAGATCTACGAGTAGTTCCCAATGTATATCCAAATATCATCAGATGACTACCCCACTTTAGCCTTTCACGACTAAGAAGATCCCCAACTATAGCACGGCTGTAAGTTTTACAATATATATTATAAATTTAAGGGCTACTCCAACAAAAACAACATCTTTGATGGTCTAACGGTCATGATTTCCGCTTGTCAATTTCGATTGCAAGTCGCGGGAGACCGGGGTTCGACTCCCCGTCAGAGAGTGACTGATCTCATGCGAGCATTCCTTTTGTGAGTCTTTTGTTCCTCGAGGCAGATCTCCGAGTTTTTTTTCATGGCGCCGTTGTTTTTTCCTATTTCCTATTTTTGGTTTAGGGGAGGGCGCGAGAAGTTGGACGAGATCAATGAATATCAGAAATGTGTTTGATAGGTCCAAAATAATACATGCATATGGAGAATCTAAAACGACCACTAAAATTTCTTCAAATGTTGTGTTTGTGTCGTGCAGGAATGAGCGGGGGCGTAGCGGCAGATATAGCGAATCGTCAGGGGCTCGGGTTGGTGCGTCGACCCCACCTTGTCAGTATGCATAAACAATTCAAATGTTGAGTTGTATCCTGATTCTGCTTATTGATTGATGAATGTTGTGAACCAAAAAATTATTTCTTTTTTTCATGTTTACTTCTTGTTGACGTTGATGTTTGTGCCTGGGTCTGACTCAGCCAGCCCTGGGCAAAATTTAAGATGGCCAAGACCAAAAATGCAAAAGAAGTTTCACATCTACAGTGACAATTGCCCGTTCTAGGAATCGAACCTAGGATCTCATCATTACTAGTGATGCGCTTTACCGCTAAGCCAAACGGGCATTGTTTGTTGAAGCGTGGTCGTAATTTTGCTTACTTATCCATACGCGCAAGTGGAGATGAGATCTAAGACCTGAGTGGGGTTGGTGGGGTGGAATGTGCCGGTACTTAATCTTGAAGTATCGTCTTATCTATCTTGCAAAAGCCTCGGGTTCTCAACGATCACAGACTTTTCTATTGTCAAGAGTCGACTGAATAAAGTAAGGATATTCTGATGTTCTGTTGTACAATGAATGCGAGATTGGTGTTCCTCTTGAGATAAGATGAGAAGATGTGTTTCCATCTACAAATCGATCTACCATTTTTAACGATTCTATGTTCCTAATAAGGTTGCGTCTTAACTTCTTCCACCATACCTAAAACTGTCCATAATCTAAATCACGAGTAATGAATCAGCACAGAATCCCAATTGTTTCATCCAACTCTCACTACAATTCCCGCCCCCCAGGAAAGAGAAATAACTCACCTATCCATACCAAATCTCAAATCTTTCTCGTCCATAGCAAAAGTGATACGATACCAACCCGGCTCTTCAGATGTAAAAGCTTCACCTGTAGCTAGCCAAATCCCATTTTTCAACATCTTCCACGAGAGTATACGTTCGGCCTCAATAGTTGGGGATGCAAGATATGAACGGAGATCTATCCAAAGAAAAGGACCGCAAGATCTGTATTTCGTGATTTTCGTCAGTTTCTCTCCCACGACGAGAATCGACAAGGAAATATGTGCTTAGTACTTACGCAGGAATATAGGAAATATCGAATTCTTTCAATCTCCTGGTACAGAGCTCATACGCATTTCTCATTCTTTGAGCAAGGGTTGAGAAATAATAATCTACAAACTTTTGATCATTCAACATTAATGTCCATACGTGATCAGGTAATGAAGATGCCCAAGCGAATTTTGATATTGCTCCTAGAGTACGATGGAGGGTGGGATTATGTTGTGAGATGATACATCCAATACGTAGGCCATTCGAGCAGAAATCCTATGACAATATACATCAGCATTGAAAACTTCGTAGGTGACTAGAGTGGAAGTAAATACATACCTTGCTCATGCCATAGACCACGCAAACCAAGGCCGGATCACAGAACTTCCCAATATCTAATGAAAGTATCGAGGTAAAAGACATTGGACTCGGTATATCCTGATTTGAAAAAACACCCATCGCATATACTTCATCAATTATAAGGTGAATGTTGTATTTTGAGCAGAGAGAAAGATATGCTTCCAAGACTTCTGGGGCATAACATCTTCCAAGAGGATTGTGAGGGTTACAGAGCATGAGTCCCCGAATCTTGACACCTTTTTCTCTCGAGGAAAAAAGTGCTTCTTCATGTTTCTTGACTCCAGCCATGGTAGTCACATCTTCGAGTGCACCGATCGGTACGGGTACTACCTTGACTCTTTACTTTCGGATGAGCATAAAAACTTCAGTAGATAGGATCGTAGGCAAAACACACCTAGCACGATCTTCGAAATCTCCAACAAACCCAACATAGAAAGGTTGAGCAATTAAAATTCCCTCATTTTCTTCGGCAATACAATAACTTAATGCATCAAGAATAGAAGAACCTCCTCCCATGACCGTTACATGATCCCTTGATACAGATTCCTTTGGTGAGAAATTTGAGTTCCAGAATGTGGCGAGAGCAGCACGCAATTCACAGGAACCGGTTGGTCCATCTCCATATGTGAGCACTGCATTTTGTTAGATCTTGCTTATATATGAGATGATGTAGAAAGAGGATATGGAACAAGGTACTTTTTGGGGTCACTCGGAAATTCGAGTTTATATAGTTTGCAATTTCATCATGCCTACATTTTCATATCTGTCAATCACACAGCTAGGATGGAGAATCGATTCCAATGTAGGATCAAACATACATAAGTCTATTCTCTGCAATACCCATAGGAAAGATACCACCTGGATTACTTTCAGACCAAGGATTTCCAAACACCGTACCCATGAAATTTCGGATTTCTTCCGACGAGATGTTTTGAAGACATCGGGAAGAGAGATTTTCCATTTCGAAGAATGGGAATGAGAATCAGAAGCTCTTCAACAGTAGTGCGGAAAACCCATGTACATATGAAGTACTGTATAGTCAGATCGAAATTGTGTACGTTGACTTCAGGATTAATCTCTGGTGGAGTGAAAGAATATGGATGCCGGCTATTCGCAGGAGAAAAACCAAACCGGAATTGACCACTGAGCGAAACCCGTTCAACAATCCAATTGTTCCATTTAAATTCAAAGAATCAAAAAGTTTGAGGAGTATCATGATTGACTGAGACTATCCTAGGTCTTGTGCAGTACTATGAACTTTCATAATTTACCTAGGTAATTCTAGAATCTATTGGGGTGATCAATTTTGATCTCTTTTTTATCCTGTGAATAGGCCGGATGCACGGAATCCGGGATCCGTCAATTCGATACTTAATCGTTTGCTCCCGACAAAAATAAAAATTGAAAGATGTTGTATGCAATTGGATTTTTGTCTATTATTTGAAGTTTCAATTTGAATAGTCCAGCTCTTGAAAAAAGAGACGAAATGTTGTTATACCTTTTGGCGAAAACCGTATTATCTACTCGTGTAACCTAAGGAGCTGACATCCACGAATGAACCAAAACAATTGAATGAGATATCGAAATCGAGTCTCAAGATATTGGTTATACTACAGTGGAATGATTTTGCCATACACTTCAGTATTCCAAGTGGAAATCCGATAAGTGTTACTTGAGATCCAAATTGGTATTCAATAACAATAACTCACTCGTACTTTTTGTTTCGATGTTTGTTCAATTATCAGATATAATTTGTCCAAGGGGAGTGCACTCAACACATTCAATTTTCAACTAATTGTAACTGTTTCTGTATCAAAAGATAGCTCTTGATTAGCTTCAAAGATCTCATGACGAAGATACTCACTGATACACCGAAAATATACTTCCGTCACAAACTTCGTCAACTTGCTCAAATCTCAACTATTTCTCACACTTCTACGAGTAATTGCAAAACACTTCTAACTGCAAAATATAGCTCCTGAGAGCTTCATGAGGGAAAAAGCTGAGCTCCACAGGGATCGAACCTGTAATCTTTTGATGGAGAGGACTGTTATTTCTAACAGAAGTCGAAGTCAAACGCGTTGCCATTGCGCCAGAAGCCCGATCTTGTTATGCAGTGGAGTAACTTTTTCTGGTATATATTCTACTCAAAACTAGCATGAAAGAGTACTCCATATGACGGACTTTTGAACAATTAAGTGGGGTGTTAAGCAATGTGTTGTTACGAATGGTGTGGTGGGATTTCTCATCTAGCGCTTAGTCGTAAGAAGCGACTAGTTAAACTAGCGAGTTTACAAATAATTCCGTACTCCCTATTGTGTACGATGTATGACTCTTTCGAGGCAGTCATATACGGAATAATGATTGCGCAATTAATCGATTTTATTCGATCAACACGGCGTAGCAACCGCGTTTCTAAGAAAAGCTTCTACGGAAATTTCAACGCATAATTGATAGTCCGTAATGATGCATTGTCGAGAGTCCGAACAAGGATTTATGCACTAATGCTAATTAGGCTTAGTAGGGGCTGACACAGTACGGAAATCACGGGCTTTTTGGGATCTCCGTTGCCAACATTCCCTCTAGTTCGTCTGTTGGACGTTGAAGAACAATTCTAGGCTTACAGACTGCGCTTCTGTACTAGATGCAAGGAGTCAATCGATATTCAGAGGGCTGAGTAGCCCCAATGTCAATCTCCTTATCCGGATATAGGTGAATTCGAACATCCTTGATCGCTCACGGTGCGGAGGTAAGGCAGATAGGAAACGGCTTATTAGTGAAGTTCGGACGGAACATGATTAGGGGAGGGATTACGGTGAGAACAACATTTTCAATTCATCTATCGCTAATGCAAATCCTATCTGTCTCTACGTAAGCGAAATAAGAGGCGGGAATTGAGTCCTCTTTCAAAGAACTTCTTGAATAAATTATAGATTCATTTCAAGTCAAATACTAGATTCTGAAAAGACAAAACGAAAAATTGAGCCTGCTTTACTTAGACAGTGACAACTATATGTATTCAATACAATATTGGAGAGAGATTCGAATTATCGAAGTCCTTCTGAATGATACTCAACTTCCGCCTCTTATTTCGCTTACGTAGAGTAGAGCCTGTCATTGATGGTATTGAAGTTTGAATGGTCAATTTTTTTATAAGAACAATCAACAGTTTTTGACGGGTTTGATGGTTTTGACAGACTGCGATCTTCTCAGCAATTATTAGTCGTGACCTCATAGATCTCACTCTGCATCTTGGCTCTAGATTTCTAGATAACAGCGTAAATCCCACGGGCATGGTACTTCATTTTGATTTGACAGATCATGGTAAGGCTGTTCAATGCTTTGAAATGATGGAGCAATGCAGCAATCAACACACTAGAACGAGATCTCGTTCGGACTTTTGCGGACAATTCTGTCATGAACTGAGAACTTAGTCTTGGGTACAACAGCGAGAACGGCTTCTTTTCATTCGAGAGGAAGGGGGAAGAGGGAACAGTTGTCCCTTTGTTAAAACTTACAAGCGTCGGGGCTCGGTCCTAAGAAGTCTTCATTTGCATTTATTTTCATGTGAATTTCTAGGCTACTAATAACGACCAAGATAAGATTGACCTTCCACTTAATTTATGAGAAAGTTTCCGTTTCAACGTAAGTCGAATGTTATTGTGCCGCACGCACTGTCGGTATTCTGGTTGTCCGAGAGGATTGTGGAAAAGGAAATTTTGATGGGAGGCCGATTGCATTTTGGCGTAGATGCTTCGTGTATTTCGAATACAGTTTGTAGTTTCGGAATTTTAATTTTTTGTTGGTTGCTTTTTGTGGGTTTGATTTCTAAATATTTACATCAAGGGATTTCCGGTCTGAAGGTGGAAATACTACTTAATTATTCATTGCTCCTTTGTTTGAAGGTATCTAATAAGCCTCCTACGTATTAATTCTTGGCAACTTCTATTTGAGGACCTATTATTTCGGTATTATTTTTGTACACATTTTTGTTGTTTTAATTCACTGTGTTCTATCATTTGGTAGTTCCATATCAATATTTCAATCGCCATCATGGCAGCCACCGAGCCTGAGGGTTTCTCCTCGATTGTTCGACCACACGAAGCACATGGAAGTGCACTTACAAGGGCAATTTCATCATCATCCGCCTTCTCGGATCGAAGACGACAGAGAGCTTATGATAGTTCCGATGACGATGATAAGGGCGGGAAGAGTATGGCTGAGGATTGGAGCCTGATGCCTGAACTTCAAGCTATGCGACAGCAGAGTGAAAAAGATCAAGTCAAAGGAAGAGATCTTGGTGTCACTTGGAAGAATTTAACGGTCAAGGGCATTGGAGCTGATGCTGCTATGAACGAGAATGTTGGATCGCAATTCAACATTCCCCAAAAGATCAGGGAAGGACGAACCAAACCACCTCTGAGAACTCTCGTCGACAATGCTCATGGATGCGTTAAACCTGGAGAAATGTTATTGGTTCTTGGAAGACCTGGAGCTGGATGCACGACTCTACTGAAGATGCTTTCAAATAATCGAGCCGGATATGCAGAGGTCACGGGTGATGTACATTTCGGATCAATGACCCATACTGAAGCACAACAATACCGGGGACAAATCGTCATGAATACCGAAGAAGAACTTTTCTTCCCTACCCTTACAGTCGGACAAACCATTGATTTCGCAACGAGAATGAAGGTTCCATTTCATTTACCTTCAGACGTCAGCTCTCCCGAGGAATATCAACAAGCCAATCGCGATTTTCTACTCAGGAGTATGGGTATCTCGCATACTCACGATACCAAAGTGGGAAATGAGTATGTGAGAGGTGTTTCTGGTGGTGAGCGTAAACGTGTTTCGATCATTGAGATGCTCGCTTCTAGAGGAAGTGTGATGTGTTGGGATAATTCGACTCGAGGTTTAGATGCTAGTACCGCTTTGGAATACACGAAAGCTATCAGAGCATTGACGGATATCTTTGGATTGGCCAGTATCGTTACGCTTTACCAAGCTGGTAATGGTATCTACAATCTTTTTGATAAGGTTTTGGTTTTGGAAGAGGGAAAGCAGATCTATTATGGTCCGATGAAACAGGCAAGACCTTTTATGGAGGAGTTGGGTTTCATCTGTGATGATTCTGCTAATGTTGCTGATTTCTTGACCGGTGTTACGGTATGCTCTTTCTCTCATCGTTACATCTACTTTTCGTACTAATCCATCTTACTCCAGGTACCAACCGAGCGAAAAATCAGAGATGAATTCCATAATCGATTCCCTCGAACCGCCGGTGAGATTCTCGCTGCATATAACAACCACCCCATCAAGAATGAAATGGAAAAAGAGTACGACTATCCCACCACCGAAATCGCCAAACAACGAACCGAGGATTTCCGCACATCTGTACTATACGAAAAGAGTCCTAAACTTGGCAAGGATTCTCCTCTCACCACTAGTTTTGCGGTCCAAGTCAAGGCTTGCGTTATTCGGCAATACCAAATCATATGGGGAGACAAAGCAACCTTCATCATCAAACAATTTTCCACTCTCGCTCAAGCTCTCATCGCCGGTTCTCTCTTTTACAACGCTCCTGCCACTTCCAGCGGTCTCTTTGTCAAATCCGGTGCTCTCTTTTTCTCTCTCCTCTTCAATTCTCTCCTCGCCATGTCCGAAGTCACCGATTCGTTCTCTGGTCGTCCTGTCCTCGCTAAACACAAAGCATTTGCACTATACCATCCAGCCGCCTTCTGTATCGCTCAAATCGCCGCTGATATCCCTGTTCTGGTCGTGCAAATCTCGCATTTCTCACTCGTCTTATATTTTATGGTTGGGTTGCGTCAAGATGCTGGTGCATTCTTCACTTTTTGGGTTCTTATTTTCTCAGCGACCATGTGTATGACTGCACTTTTCCGTGCCATCGGTGCTGGGTTTTCCACATTCGACGCCGCGAGTAAAGTTTCTGGATTC